AAACAAATGACGTCACACATTATGAAATGGACAAAGTCCGACAATTATTTTAAGACATTTTTATGTTTATATATTCTTTTTATAGATACAAATATTTGAGTAAATGCTCTGTTTTATAATAAATAATATTAATAACATTTACCTGCCTAAATGTCCGAGAAATTGTCATAGAAAATATTTGTTCTCCGACAGGAATCGAACCTGTATCCACGGAGAATCGTTCGATTGGCAAGGTCGATTTTACCGTTTTTAAACTTCAGTCTTCCGTGAATTTCTTACGTACATTCATATCTGCTCATGGTATATGGATTTTACATAAAAATGTCTTAAAATAATTGTCGGACTTTGTCCATGTCATAATGTGTGACGTCATTTGTTTACATTTGGATACACAAGGATAAGGAAAATAATTATTTTTTTCAAAAAAATTGTGAATTAAATATCGCAAAAAGAAACAATAAATGAGGTCTACCCGTTTATCGCTCCTCGCTATCCAGGGCCCAATCGAGGACAAAACATAAACAAGTGTCCAACAACTTAAAAAAGGAGAATGAAAAATGACTACTAGAGAATCAGTAAAATAAATCACAAACAGATTACATTAAGACAGAGCAAGTATTCCTACTTCACGCAAAGAGAAGGCTGCTTAGACTTAATATAAATGGTCATAAGACATCTCAAATGGTAATACATCCCTCCCTACCAGCTATGGGTTAAATAACAGGACAAACTGGATCCTACGGCTCTGTGTCAGTTCATATCTATCAATCTCAGTCTGTTCATAACTATGTATCTGTTTCACTCATTTCTATCTCTCTCACTTTCTCTCGCTCTCTCTCTCTATCCATCTCTCTCTCTCTCTCTCTCTCTATATATATATATATATATATATATATATATAATGCTGTTCATTATCTATCTTGGTCTGTTCATGCATATATATATATATATATATATATATATATATATGTGTGTGTGTGTGTGTGTGTGTGCGAGCGACTCAAAATATTCACAAACACATGCATATCTATATATCTACACAAACACACACACACACACACATATATATATATATACATAAATATATATATATCCGAAACGCGTCAGCAATTACTAGTTTTCCTATTGTCATTTTTATTCATAAATATTGTCTTCTTCTGGTTAAATCGGAGAAATTTTCATTATATATCGATATATATATATATATATATATATATATATATATATATGTGTGTGTGTGTGTGTGTGTGTGTGTGTGTGTATGTATATCCGTTTGTCCATTTAGTTATCGCAGTCTGCCAAACTTTTGTCTAGATAGATAGATAGAAAAATGAACAGCTTTAGATAGATAGATAGATAGATAGATAGATAGATAGATAGATGAACAGGATGATGAAGAGGATAGATAGATAGATAGATAGATAGATAGAACAGGCTGATATATATATTTATATGTAAAGATAGATAGATAGATAGATAATTTGAAGAGAATTAGATAGAAAGATAGATATAAAGAGACTTATATATATATATATATATATATATATATATAGAGAGAGAGAGAGAGAGGATAGATAGATAGATAGATAGATAGATAGATAGATAGATAGATAGATAGATATGAACATGCTGATAGATAGATAGATAGATAGATAGATAGATAGATAGATTTATGTGTGTGCGTCCTATCTTTCTCATCTAAAAGATATTAGATCATTTTTCAACCCCTGAAGTGTAATTGACGTTTACACTTTGCTACATTTCATAAAAGACGTAAGCTCTATCGACTGAAACTCAACCCAGACGGAAAAATCTGTTCATTTGTCTGATAAAGAAACGTAAAAAGAGGAAAAAAAAATCTGGAAGTATAGAAAAAGGTTGGCGGGCGGGTAGACACTCAGAAAAAAAAAGAGGGAGTACTTTTAAAGGACCACAGTATTACTCCATAGTGTGATGATACTAAGAAAGATGCTGGAGATTTAAAGAGATTTACTGTCACACGGCCTCCAACAATAGCCACTTGACGTCTGGTTGGTTAGATGCTTGGTTGATCGGGAGATTTTGAAGAACGTGGAACCACCTCTCAATTGCTGTTGTTCCCATATCTACACTCATCCAGGGTAGTAGCACCTGTTTGGGTCCCAGTTATGGGCAAACAGTGATCCCCCTAAAACACTGAAATTACAAAAATGCATTTTTAAAGTAAAAATGTCCAGCAATATCCCGTCCTGGGTAAGACGATAAACTACGTCCGCGTCCTGGGTAAGACGATTAACTACGTCCGCTTCCTGGGTATGACGACAAACTACGTCCGCGTGCTGGGTATGAAGACAAACTACGTCCACATCCTGGGTAAGACGATAAAATACGTCCGCATCCTGGGTATGACGACAAACTACGTCCGCGTGCTGGGTATGACGACAAACTACGTCGACATCCTGGGTAAGACGATAAAATACGTCCGCGTCCTGGCTAAGACGATAAACTACGTCCGCGTGCTGGGTATGACGACAAACTACGTCGACATCCTGGGTAAGACGATAAAATACGTCCGCATCCTGGGTATGACGACAAACTACGTCCGCGTGCTGGGTATGACGACAAACCACGTCGACATCCTGGGTAAGACGATAAAATACGTCCGCGTCCTGGCTAAGACGATAAACTACGTCCGCGTCCTGGGTATGACGACAAACTACGTCCACATCCTGGGTAAGACGATAAAATACGTCCGCATCCTGGGTATGACGATAAACTACGTCCGCGTGATGGGTATGACGACAAACTACGTCGACATCCTGGGTAAGACGATAAAATACGTCCGCGTCCTGGGTAAGACGATAAACTACGTCCGCGTGCTGGGTATGACGACAAACTACGTCCACATCCTGGGTAAGACGATAAAATACGTCCGCTTCCTGGGTATGACGACAAACTACGTCCGCGTGCTGGGTATAACGACAAACTACGTCCACATCCTGGGTAAGACGATAAAATACGTCCGCGTCCTGGGTAAGACGATAAACTACGTCCGCGTCCTGGGTATGACGACAAACTACGTCCACATCCTGGGTAAGACGATAAAATACGTCCGCATCCTGGGTATGACGACAAACTACGTCCGCGTGCTGGGTATGACGACAAACTACGTCCACATCCTGGTTAAGACGATAAAATACGTCTGCATTCTGGGTATGATGACAAACTACTTCCGTGTGCTGGGTATGACGAGAAACTACACCCGCGTCCTCGGTAAGACGATAAACTACGTCCGTCAGCAAAGCCACTGGTCAGGAGGTTTTGAGACCCGTGTAACCACCTCTTCATTGCTGGTATTCGCAGGCGCACCCTGATCCGTGGTGCTAGCACCTGTCAGGGTCACAGCTATGGGTAAATTGTTAACCCCCAACCTGGGGTCGAAACACTATTAAAGTGTTAAAATAGGTTTTAATACCAGCAATAGATTTTTGTAAATCTTATTACCAATAATAAAATTTGAAGAAAAAATATTGCCAAGAATAGATTTTTGAAAAAAAATTTTGCCAGCAATACATTTTTTATTCTAAAAAATATTACCAGCAATAAAAATCTCGTCGGTATTAAATAACCCATTGGGGTTGATATACCGTAAAACAAACCAAACCAAACCAAACTAGCAATATCTATCTCTAAGAAAATATTCAATACATTTTAACTGTAGTTGAATGCAAACAATTGTATTTTAATTATTTAGATTTCGACATTAAAATAATTCATAGAAAATACTTGGCTGGCAATCAGTATCGCAATGGTGAGGCCATCATATCTGCTGTTGATGACATTTTTGACTACAGGATGAACAGTCTTTTTTGAATCGTCAGATGTCTGTTTACCTGGAAAGAAAGAATGCAGTTATTAATAAGAAGAGTTGAAATGAATGCATGCAAGATTTCACAGCTCTAGGATCAATCCTTCATAGTCAGCCTATGAACATTTCAGCCCTTCCTTGTACCGGGAAAGAAAGAATGCAGTTATTAATAAGAAGAGTTGAAATGAATGCATGCAAGATTTCACAGCTCTAGGATCAATCCTTCATAGCCTATGAACTTTTCAGTCCGCGTTTCTATGTAAATTACTGAATATTAACAAATGGGTTATTAATTGTCGAAGATATATTCACGACGTTTCGGCCGTTATTCTCTCTGAACTTCTTCAGGATCTATTTATATTTCTGAGATGAGGCAGTTTAAATATTTACACTATTTACATTGATCGGACTGTTGTCCTCATTTTTGTTGTCATATCCACAACGTTCCGGTCGTTGTTGTACGCTCCGGCCTTCGTCAGACGATTGGATTTCCAACCGATCCCTTTATTTCGTCCACCGTGGTAGATTGTTCTAGTTCCACGTGCCATGCCTCTTCCGGATGTCTCAGTGTCAGTATTTTTTTTTCTTTTAGTAAATAGTGTAAACAGTTACAAGACCTCATCTCAGAAATATAGAGAGATATATTAAAATAGCCAAAAGTTATCTTCCGGACTCAAAGTTTCGCAGATAATATCCGCACATCAGGGTTTTTATTTAAATCTGATCCCTAATTAGGGATTTTTCCAAGGACATTGTTTGTACCGATGCAATTTAGTGACAGTTTCCAACATAAGAATTATCTCAGATTTCCAACCTGACCCAGACTCCCAGATGTTTGCATTGTTTCACCTGACGGTTAAAAATATCGAAACACCTGAACAACTTGTGTCTGATCTAATTATAGATTAATGACGCCTCATCGAATTATGAACAATCGATTAAGCTCAGTAATCAACACAATTAAAAATACGTCAAACGATTTTAATTACATGAAGCTATTTAGGAGCGTGAATTGCTGATGGGGTTGAGAGGGGGGAAATATCCACATATACACTGAACACACATAAACAAGCACACACCTACGCAAACATATACATTCCACAGAAAGACACTCAGACACTTATATATTTACGTATACCTACTGACGGCGAAA